TAGATAGATAGATAGATAGATAGATAGATAGATAGATAGATAGATAGATAGATAGATAGATAGATATTTGATTGATTGATTGATTGATTGATTGATTGATTGATTGATTGATCTCCGCCCATCTCCCCCTAATGGAGGACTCTGGGCAGTTCACATGATCCATTAAAACAATAAATCTTTATAAATTAAAGAAAACATAACAATTATATAAAGCATTCCCAAAAAAAGAAAAAGTCCAAGAGGCTGATGGTTTCCAGAGGTGCAGACAAAAGGCCATCCCCACGCTTGATGTCTTCCCTCCTCACCCCAGGCCAAGTGGCAGAGCCAGGTCTTCAAATCCCTCTGGAAAGCCAGGAGTGAAGGGCCAATCTCAACTCCGGGGGCAGGATATTCCAAAGGGCGAGGGCCATAGCCGAGAAGGCCTGTTTTCTGGACCCCACTAATCAGAGCTCTTTTACCGAGGGGGTCTGAAGCATGCCCTCTGTGTGTTCAGGTGGGACAGGCTGAAGTCATGGGGAAGAGGCAGTCCCTTAGGTAACCTGGTCCCATGCCATGTAGGGCTTTAAAGGTGATAACCAACATCTTGAATTGGACCCGGAAGCAAACTGGTACCCAGTGCAGCTCGTGGAGCAACAGTGTTACGTGGGCCCTTCTTGGGGCTCCAAAAATAGCCCACACAGCTGCATTCTGGACCAGCTGTAGCTTCTGGATACTCTTCAAGGGTAGGCCCATGTAGAGCGCATTGCAGTAGTCTATATGGGAGATAAGGGCATGAGTGACCGTTCGAAGGGCATCCCAATCCGGGAAAGGGCATAACTGATGCACAACCCGAAGTTGTACAAAGGCCCTCCTGACCATGGCTGCCACCTGCTCTTTGAGCAGGAGCCGTGAGTCCAGGAGGACCCCCAGATTATGCACTGGGTCTGTCTGGGACAGTGCTACCCCATTGAGCACCAAAGATGACAAAAAAACACAAGATATCTCACCATATCTTGTGTTTTTCCACTCTTTGGCTTTTCATGTAGTAGTAGTGGCATTCCTGCAGGTTGGGCAATTGAGATTGGGTCAGAGGCAGAGTCTGTAGAGGTAGGCGTGGTGATCCCTGCTTCTGTCTCAGTAATGCTACAGCCCAACCTCTCAGAACTGGTCCTGTCTGGTCCTGTCTCATCCTGCTCCCCTTATTCCTGTGATAATTATTTCCATGCCAGAGGCATGACAGAATTTCAGTATTCCTGGGTGCAGAATTTTTCCATTTTTTAAATTGGACATCCTGTAACCCTGACAGAAGGTTTATGGAAGAGAGAGCATCAGAAACCAAGAAGTATAATGCCAGGGTGAGTGAAGGAATATGGCAAAGAATGAGCTGGAGTAATGTGAGAGCTGCTTCAAGTGACAGTTCACCAGCACTGTCAAAAACAAGCCAGAACACAGCCTTCTGGAAGATTTTGGCAGAATGTTCTGTAGCAAGGAGAACACTTTATAGACCAGTCATGATACATTCTGTAACCTGATGAATCAGAAGATGGAAAAGCATATTCAGTGTCAAATTAGAAGTTTTACTAAGAAAGATTTAAACTCTCCCTTTTACTTCTAACCCCCATCTTTTCCCCCACTTCCAAAATGTAAGCTGGCAAGGAGGGGGAGTATTCTGTAGGTATTCAAAGTTCCCTGAGAATTTAGTGATGAAACACTAATTTATGACAAATGACCTGCCTCAGCCTAAGTTTCAGTGGTCTTGTTTGCATAAATTCTATTCTGGAGGAAAATGTGATCCTGTTCCCCTTAAAATGAGTTTCTGCTTTATCTCTGTGCTCAGTGTTCCTTAATTGTGCTTTCTTTTTCCTTCAAGCAGATTTTTTTAAAAAAGGTTAATTTCATTATCTTCCTCTTGTCTCCCCTCCTCATTAACTCAGCCTCGTGATGTTCACAAGAGGGATTCTTCTCTTGCAAGCCAGCTAACTTTGGAAGAAGACAGGCTTCAAGAAAACCGCTTATCACATGTGGCCAATGGTCCAAAGTTGCCTTTGGAGCAGGTCAAGGAAGCCATAAATGGGCAGGGCAACAGGCTTTTGGAGGAAGAAGCTAGAACTGAAGCCCTGGTCAAAACTGCTGAGCATTCAGATTTGTTGGGAATAGAAAGTTCTTCAGTCCTGCCTGGTGCTATACAGAAGTTAAGCACTAGCCCCCAAGGATTGCAGCCCAATGAAAACATTAAATCGGCAGAGGATGGGGCTCTCAGCTACCAAAAGGAAAACACTCAGCCAGCAGACAGTGAGGATTCAAATTGGGGAAGCCATATTGTAAACAGCCTCCTTGAAACGCCAACTGAAGAAAAACTCCCCAATGGGAGTTTGAGCTCATCTCAGTTTGAGAATGACAGCTTCAAGAGAGATTCTGATTCTGGTAGCACCTCTGCTTCAGAGAGTATGGACCTCAGCATCTCTCTGTCTACTGATCTATCCCTGAACAGAGGCAGCGGGTCCCACTCCCTAAAGGTAAGAATTGAAGGTTGTGAGTGGGGGTACAGGTTTATGGAGGCACCCCAATTGAGTGATCAGCAGAAAGTGCAGCAGCAGCCTCTCTTTCTTGCCACCAGAGGTGGCAAGCATTGTTTAGGAAGAGGTTGAAAGAGAACACCTCTTGCTGTCCTTCAGTGCAGCAGAGATAGTTGCTGTTCCCACTAATTGCTTGTTTGCTTGCCAAGGCAGAAGAGCTAGAAACCCCAAGGCTCTTTATCTATTAATGCAGTAATGTCATGATTGGCAAGGTTGGGAAATGCAGCAGCATCTACTACTGCAATCAGATCATGTTTTGGGCTGTAGTGGATGGGCAGGGTAGGAAGTTTTCATCCCCAGAAATCAGAGGAAGGCAACCAAATGCTTCACGGGTGTTTTGGACTTAAGTTCTCATCAGTGTCACCAACTAATGGCTGATGACACTCCATTGCAGGAGGTGTCATTCAAAAATGTAGATCATGCTATGTTGCCTGCCTAGACATGGATAATAGTGCAGCGTGGAGGGAGAGGGTGAGTCCTATTTTTTGATGAAAAGAGATGACATTCAAGTATTCATGATTTCAGAGAAGTTTCAAATTTTGAAGATTCAGAGAAATGGTTGGCATTCAATAACTGTTAGTCCCTCCTCTTTGCCAACATCTTCTAATTGGACAATGTGTTCTCCCTTCCCCAAACTCCCTAAAATTCGAATACTGAAAACAAAACGAATCATACAAATCAAGAATATGTGTGGAATCTATGGTTTTAATTTCTTAATTTCATATTGGAATCTGAATTTCCTTGATAGAAAAGTAGTCTTTCTTCCTCTTCTCCCCACAATGATTACGATTCCTGTGAAGCTTTTATAAAACACCTCTTGTTTAGTTAGATGATAAATAATTATTTCATATCCAGAATTTTGTTTGTTGTCTTTTTACCATGTTTCTTTATATATAGAATGCAAAAATGCAGAACAAGACACTGAAACGAACGAGAAGATTTGTAGTAGATGGAGTGGAAGTGAGTGTTACCACCTCAAAAATCATTAGTGAGGATGAAAAGAAGGATGAAGAGATGAGATTCCTCAGGCAAGCTAAAAATCTGTTTTGTTTGTAAGGATTTGTATAGGCCTGACTGTTTTAGGAGACTAGTGAAAAAGTGAAATATTAGGAAGAATGTCCTAATGGTAATAAGATTCAGTCTTGGAAGAGAGAATCTATGAATGTAGCAGGCCTTTAAGGTGTTTTACTGCACTTCAGTCAAATTCTTCCCACTCCAAAGAATGGCTAGACAGAGTCTCTGAAAGGGCAGTGCAGGTGACGAGTTGACTGTTCTTGAATCTTGAGTCTCTTTCCTGTATTCTTTTACCCAACCGCCCATAAGACTATGTAAAATAAAAGAAGACTTGACAGTGCTTTCTCCTTCCTGAAACACTATATATAGTCTTAGGGAAAGTTCAATGTTCATAAAGTGGATAGTGGCTGAAGAGGTACTTTACCAATCAAACTTTAGCTCTTGTGCAAGTATAGCAGCTAGAAGCATATCTATGAGGTTTCTGTTCACTAGAGATCAAACTTACCTTGTGGAACCAGATATAGAGAGATGATGTCTCTTTTTCAAGAGCAAAGACTTTAACAACCGAAAACCAAGAACATTTTAGTTTGCTAGCATTATAAATACATATATTTTCTGGTCCCCCACAACTGACTTCTCCAGCTTGGTTATCCTCCAGCATTCCCATCCAGCTTGGCCAAAGTCTGGCTGGGATTTATGGGAGTTGCAGAACAATACATCTGGAGGGCACTAAACCCTGCAGCAGAACAAGAATGGGGAAGAGAAAAATGAAAGGTCAGCAGTTCACTGCTAATGTTTTGCCTTCCCTGCGTCAATTCTTTTTATTACCACAAGAGTCAATAAATGTCTGGCAGCAATTTGAGATGTTATACCTAAATTATACCTTAAAAAGTGACATATGATAACAGTTTTCTAAAACTCAGTTCAACAGAGGTCAACACCACAAACTTACCTGTATGGTTCATTATATTTCTTTCAGCTTGCCAAGCTTCAGACAGTGATATATTTTTGCATGCAGTTGTCTGTGGGATTGTATTAAACTATATTTCTTCAAAATGTTTGTATGAGGAAGGTGAATAATTCAAGGCCAGAAGTCCAAATATAAGCAAGAAAGAAAAACAGCCTCTTTAGAATATCGTGCCTTGCAGGCCAAAAGTGGTGTGCACATGACAGTGATTGAAAGAATCAGTTCTTCCCTAATGGAGAGTCTGGGCCCTTAGAATGTGGAAGGCAGCAGGCAGCCTATCTTGGCTGGTCTTTATTGTGATTATTTTAGCCTAAGCTGTGCTTCTCTGTAGCCCTGGTTCATCTTCTGTTTCTGAATTTGTGCTCTACTTTAACCCGGTAGGCGCCAGGAGCTGCGGGAGCTGCGTTTGCTTCAGAAAGAGGAACATCGGAATCAGACACAATTAACGAACAAACACCAGCTGTTCCTGGAACAAACGTTAAAACGCTTTGAACAGGAAATGAATGTAAGTGGGAAGAGGAATTAAATTTGTTTCAATCTCAGATGTTGGCCAGAGGTGGAGAAAGAAAAAACTACAAGGCATGGATGGTATTAATTAGGCTAGGAAAAAACCTTATTGCTAAAAGTGGTGTCAGTTCCCTGAAGAATTATGGGTAGAATGGCAACCTTATCTACCTGAATGTGTTGATATTAATACAATACATTGATTCTTTTAAGTCCCTTATTTTAGAGTTGGCCCAGAAGAAAAGTCATTTCTCTAAGCACAGGAAGGCATTTTATTATATTCTTGGAGAGAATTATAGATTATAGATATTAGGTCTGATAGGATAAATTCAGGCTTGTAATCTTTTAAATTCAGAATAACTTCTCTGTGTTTATACTTTAGTGTCTTCAAACATTGAAAATCCTTAGTAGACTTGCTAAAGCTATAACGTAGTGCAGTAAACTCCCAAATGTTTTGAACTCCAAGAACTTCTGTTGGTGATTTTTTGGAGCTGTAGTTCAAAACTTCTGAAGCGTACAAGGTCTCATATTCCTGATATAGGACATACAAAACAAGTACTATATACTTCCTTCTATCCCTAACAATTTCTCACATTTCTAAAAATTTGCAGGAGTCTCCCATCCAAGCATCAATAATTTTTAGTTCTGCTTGTAAATAATGGAATGGATTTAGGGAAATAATAATGGAGTTCCAGCTCTATGTGATTTTTCCATATGTTGTTATAACTTCTTAAACCTCCTCTCTCCCTCTCATTCCTATCCTACAGAATAAAGTGCAAAATGTTGCAGTGGTAGATTTATCACATGTCTATCCTTCATTGATCACAGGTAGAATTTTCATAGGTCTAAGATTGGTCCTTCCAAACCATCCATCAGCTCAGAAATACCCCTAATGATGTCACAGAGAAAAAGTATCCCTAACTTCAAAGAAATGAACCTCAGACAAGAATCAACATAGCTCAGTGGAACTATTGCTCTGTATTAAACATCTTTTATGACTTTGTTTTAATTGAATCATTAAATGACTAAACATGTTTGAGATGTTGAAATATACCATCAGGCTTCTGAGACATCGGTTTCCTGGGGCCTTAGATACACAATTTTTTATTTTTAAATCCTTCTCTGAATCAGAGAACATTGGTCTCTCCTTTACTAAAATAGAAGTCTAAAATAGTATCAAAATATTTACAGAGGTAGGTAAGCATTGCATAGTGTTCTCATAACCAGATCATTAGCACATTTCTACATTAAAGCTTATAAAAGGACAACTTATCAGAACTACAGTATCTGAGATGGATCTATCAGTGTGATTTGGGACCCTGACAATGTAGATTTGTATATGGAAAGCTTTACATGTGGAGGCTGGCTGGTGTAGCTGGGAACAGTGGCTCTTTACTGATGTCACAACGCTATCTTACAGAGAGGAGGGTACTTCATAAGTCACGTGGTGAGTTCACTTCTTTGTAACGTCTGCATAGGGCTATAAATTAAAGGTTTTCAAACTGGCCAAAAATGGCTTTGCCACAAGTTTCTGTTTATGCTTTTCCTAATCTAATTATTTATTTAATAATTAGCATCTCACATTTGACAGTCATGGATGGATAATCAAGATAATATTGCCTTCTTTCCAGAACTGTAAAATATTCTCAAGTCCAATATTTTTTGTCAGTGTATGCTTTCTTGCGGTAAACTAATTTAAGTATACTTTTCTCCCAATTTTTGAGACCTCTGTGCATTGTTTTTTATCATTCTTTTTTTTATACCTTTCCGTCATTTGCTAATGGTCTGTTGTCTAAGAAATGCACAATGAATTCATGATTTTACCATCTTAAATTAGCTCTGATTTCACTGACATGCTACTACCAGATAGCGGGAAAAGGAATAAAAGATGCTTTGTGTCAGCTTAGTTGTCATTCTCTTAATGGAAACCTTCCCTATACTTCAAAGACCACTTCCTTCGATTTTATACGTATTTGATTCACCAATATTCCTAATCAGATGGTGCTTCCTTTGCCAGAAGCCCACACTGTTGCAATTAAATATCCCATAAATATTGCCTTTCTCTCACTTGAGCCCTATTGTGAAATGATTTGATGAGAGGCCTGCCTAAAAGTGTGAAGGCTTCTATGTTAAAGGATAAATAACTACAGACACCTCTTTGTATAGAAAGCAAATGGAGGGTTAGAGAGTTATTTCAGGAAAAAAAAATACACGGTGTTTCATTAGTGGGTATTTCCTTAACCTGCCAGTGGTTCATTGGAACAGTTTAGCTCAATCAGTTGTATCTGTAAAACTCTGCCTACTTTAAGTACACTGATTCTAGTGTGGCTCATGCCAGATTTTATTTCTGCCATGACCAAAGGATAGGAGAGCATTTTCTAAGATGTCCCTACTTCAGCAGACACAGCAATTTTGCTTTTGCTAAATGTTTTCTTTTCTTACAACAGGAATTTTCTGTTCACTTTTCTATTTATAAATATGTCAGGAAAAAAAAATCATAGAAATATTTGCATGCACTTATGCATTTTTTCCCAATATGTAGATTTTTGTACATAACTTACCTAATGGGTGCTCTTTTTGCAAGCCATTTACTGTTTGGAAAGCATTTTGGTGTCTGCCTACCTCACAATGCAGTCTTTTTGCATGTCCTGTTAATGTATGCTTTTTGCACATGCTTCTCTGCACTGCAAAATTTTGGTGTGCATTTCTGTTCCAGATTTTCCTATATGTTCAGCATGTCTGGAAGCAGCATAGTTACTGTAGCTAAACATTCTGATAGAAGAAATGTCTTTCAGTCACTTTTCTTTAGCCTCATAGTATAAAACAGCCTTCTCTAACTCAGTGTCTTCTGTATGTGTTGTCCCACAACTTATGGTATTCAGACACCATGACTATAGTAACGTGGGATTGTTGGAGCTGAACTTCAACACATCTGGAGGATGCAAGTTTGGAGAGGACTGATGTAAACAGATGCAACCATTTCATCTGCCAGTATCAGCATTGCTGAATCCTTCTCGGCTTCTCTATTGTGAAATCTGTCAGAAAGAAGGCAATAATATTCCTTTAGAATCCCAGTGTGTGGTAGGTAGGAATCTCTAAGAAATAATTATTTCCCATTCTGCTTTGTGCCATATACATGGGAGATTAAAATGCATTGCAGCTGGTATATTACAATCTTCCATTTCTACACCATTTTTCCACCTGGTTCTCTGAGAAATCCAACACAGAATAAAAATACATAAAACATGATTGTATCCAAGTAAACCATGACAGTTATACATCCAATTAATTATTTGTGAATTAATCTGGCTTAATGTTTGAAAACACAAATAAATTCAGTGTGCAAATCTAATACAGTCAGAATGCCATAAAACATTTTTATGCTCTTTGCCATTTTATATAAACTTTGAAATATATTTCTTCCAGATTGGCTAAACAAGCTTCCCCAGCCAGTGAATTCCAGAAGTAAATAATCATGGAGTCATAGAACTGGAAATGACTTTTTAGACCATAATCCAACCCATTGCTCACTGCAGGAGTTATTAAAACTTTCCCAACACATACTGTAGCTGCCTGATCTCCACTCGAACATATCCTTTGAGGAAGAACCCGGCACCTTTCTGGATACAACTGTTCTTACTGTAGGAACCTTTTTAAAAACATTCAGTCATAATCTGCCCTCCTGTAACTTAAATAATTTATTTCATATCTTTTACTCAGGAACAATAGAGAGCAGGTCTTCAGCTTCTGCTGTATGATAGTATTTCAAATATTTGAAGAGTTATATTTTACTATCCTTAAGTCTTCTCAGGGCTACACCGAGTTTTTCAATTGGGCTTCATAGGACTTAGCTTCTAGTCCTTTGATGATTTGTATTGATGTTCTGTGAAATTATTCCAGTTTTTAAAAATCTTTTCTAAAGTGAGACATCCAGGACTTGATAGAAAACTTGAGATAAGTTCTGATCCGAACAGGATAAAGTGGAACTATTACTTCCCATGCAGTATAATTCAGTTGATGCAGCTTAAAATTAACTTAGCCTTTTTTTGTGTGTGTGGTTGCACTGCTGAGTCATATTAAGCTTGCAATGTTATTATTCCAAAATGTTTTTTACATTTACCAGACTAGATGTCCCTCATCCTATATCTGTTAAACTGATTTCTAAGTCTATAACTTTGCATTTGCTCTTGTTATTTTCTGCCCAACTCACTAACTTGACAAGATCATTTTGAATTTTATTTCTTTTAAGGGATTAGCTATATTATCCAGTAGTGTGTTATTTGTGAATTTCATAACCATTCCCTTTATTCTTCATTCAAGTCATTAGTAAAAATGTTAAAAATAGAGGCCTAGATTCAACTATTCTTTGAGGAAGATGTTTGAGCCAACTATATATCCACTTAATTGTTATGTTATGACAACCTACACTTAATCAAAAACCACAAGGTTCTTTGTAAAATGTTTTGCTGAAATCAAATTACATTTACAGCATTACCACAATCCATCAAATATATTTTCTAGTAAAAAAATGAGAACTTTTGTCTTGCAAGTTGACAAAACAATGCTTTCTGTTTTCAAGATGCTTACATATTAGTTGCTTTATGATATGCTGTAGTATCTTCCCAGATATGAGATTGGCTGGTTTATAGTTCCCTCTATCCTCCTTCCCCTCCCCCACCCTTCTTTTTAAATATAGGGACAATATTTGCCCTACTCCAGTACTTCAGAATCTGTTCTCCAGGATTTCTCAAAGATCATAAAAGTTTGGCCAGATTAGCTGCAAAATCTGTACCCTCCTGTCCCTGGAAATGTAAACATTTAAGGTAAATTGGTATTCCCTGGCCATTTTCGTATAATTTTCAAGCTATAGTTTTGCCCCTTCGTTCTGCTTTTTTATAGTTGCTGGATAGGACAAATATTTTTTGAAAAGTTGAAGTTCTGCTTTTTCTTTGTGTATATATTCTTCCTTGGGGACTTGTCAGTCTTTCTACCTCCTACTGTATATGTGTCCTTTTTTGTTTTTAGATCTTCAGATTTTCATATCCACAATGGCTGCTGTCTTCCATATTCTTTCCTCATTGGAATTGCTTGCAGTTTTGCTTTTACTATCTTTTTTTTTTTTTGCTTAGGATATACATGCATCTTGAGCAACTTTTCCCATTAGTTTCTCCTGCTGCAAATATGCTTCATCCCATCTCATATACAGGAGGAGCCTTGAACAGCTTTTTCCTGATCTGCTGTCATACACATACAGGCAATCCACAGCCTCAGGCAAAGAATTGCCCTCAAATGCCACAGTTAGGCCCTGATGGTTATTCAGACTGCCATTGCTGATGCCACCCATCACTAGCAAAATGAATCCTACCCTCCCAAAAAAGATTGCACTAAAGTCAGCGGGCCCACCAGTCCAAAAACATTGTCCATCCTTCCTGTACTAGTTGGGAGGACTCAGATAACAGCTATTGTTGTTGTTATTATAACTTGCATGCTGCCTGAGTCTCAGCAATTCTGGGAGGCTCACAACAAACAAAGAAATTACAATAAAATCAATAAACATAAAAAATAAGATGGCAAACGCAGTGAAGTAAGGGGTCTCACTCTCCCTTGATGAAAGCCTGGTTGAAATGACAGGAGTTACTCCTGAGTTGCAGCTCAGGCAATGGGATCTTTAATGTTCACAGCCAAGATAAAAAGAGAATGCTTTAGATTTAAATATGAACTTCACTAATGATCCTCATGTGAAGCCACTTTATGCTGTGCCTAAACTTGTTTTTCTAGGCTTTGCTTTTACTACCAAACGAAGCAAAATATTAATTTATTTAAGATTCTATCTAACTTTCCTTTTTTAGACAAAGAAGAAGTTCTATGACACAGAACTAGAGAATCTAGAACGGCAGCAGAAGCAGCAGATTGAAAAAATGGAGCAAGATCATGCGCTGCACCGGCGAGATGAGGCTAAACGTATCCGAGCTGAGCAGGAACGGGATCTGGTTAAATTTCAAGAACAGCTGAAACAAAAAAAGAAAGAGGTAAAGATGGGGGGCTGAATTCTTGCAACGTTAGGATGCCAACCTAGCTGTCAGGTGAGCTGTTGTCATAAACAAAGCAGTTCAAGGGGATGGAAGCTGAAACCCAGGATGATGAAGAAAGCAGTCTAAGGAGGAAAAAAAATACGGGGAAAGAAGAGTGAAGAAGTGGGGTCTTGGGAGGGAAGCCTGAAGAGCTAGTAAAGATGCTTAATGACTGAGCTACGAATTGTAAAATTTCTGGTTCAAATCTCACTTCTTCCACAAACTTGTTCAGCACCCTTAGACGTTTCTCTGTAGACACACTAGAAATACATTCTACTGATCTAGCTGGGACTGCTGACTAAAAAGGTATGTTAGGGAGGAATTTGGGGGATAAGGCCAGTTTAAAAAATGGCCAGCAATAGAAGAATAAGCAACAGCAACAGAAAGACAATTGGAAGGAGAGACAGAAGAGAAATGAAGAACTGACTGAACTCCTCAATTTTCTGCTGAATGTACTAAACCTTAGTATAGATCATTCTAAGCTACAAAGGGCTTCCCAGTGGTTCTGAATATCTGAAAAATTGGACTGATTGTGGGTTTTTTTGGTTTTGTTTTGTTTTGAAGCTCAAGAATGACGTTGAAAAGCTCCCACGGCAACAGCGCAAGAGCACCATGAAAGTGAAGTTGGAAGAATTTGTCCAAAAAAAGCAAGTTATGGTAAGGCACTAGAGAGATTTAGTTTACATTGTAGCACAAGCTCTTAGGGCAGCATGGACTCCCAGCCTGCCAGGAGGAAACACTATGGATTATCTCAAAGACCTCCAGAGGTTCTGGAACTCCATCTTTCAGAATTTCCCAGCTAGTGTGAGAACTACCATCCCAACATATCTAAACATTGACAAGTTGGGGAAAACTATGGCATGCCAAGAAGAGCATTCATACCTCTCCTCTCTCCTTCCAGGAACAAGTCTTTATTGTCAAGCAATCTGAGGATCTTGAACAGGCTATGAAAAACATTACAGCTCAGAATCGGAAGGAGATCTGTGACAAAGAACGAGAATGCCTCAACAAGAAGCAGCAGCTTATGAGAGGTGCTTTTCTCCCTAAATGGCCCAGTTAGAATCAAGGGAGCCGAGAAATCAGACTAAGGAGAACACGTTTTCGTTTGAAGGCAATGCAACCTTTCAGAGAGCATTGGCAAAGCTATAAACAGGAAGGATGCAAATCCTTCACAGTAATGAGAAGCATGCTATGGATGGTCGAGTGCTCATCAATATTTATATTATTGAAAAAATGTTTTAAACTGGAGAGTTATTTTTAGAAAAGTAGCCAAGCAATCTGAAGTTATAATTTTCCAACCACTTGTTGCCACAGTGCTGTCTTGAAAGCAAACAATAACAACAACAAAAATAGAGCTTACCTGTCACAGAGGGATGGGGAAACTTGTGATATTCCAGATGTTCTGATCTACAGCTTCCAATTTCCTCAGCTGTTGGCCATGCTGGCTGGGGCTGGTGGGCGTTGGAATCAACAATTAAAATAGGAATGTAAAAGCTGTTTGCTATAGATAGTAGTGTCTGCTTGTTCATCTTTCTTTAATAAAAAATCCCCACTGAAGAATTATTCATAAAAAATATAGTGGGAAGAGATCTTACCTTTCAGAAAGCTGTGTTTTACATACGTAAGGTGTTTGCATTTTTTAAAAGTATATTTGAGGGATAGACATGCAAAGGGAAAAAAGTTTACATTAAGAAAAGAAAGCAGAGAAAAAATATTTTAAGAATGGTATTAGGGGAATTTGCATGCAAAATTATACATCAGGAGATTTATCATAATTATTTTTTAAAAAACGGTATTAACCCAGCAATCTATGGTTTGGAATATAATCTTATGAACACAGATTGTGAAATGATTATTTGTACTGACCACTAATCACTAATCTAGAAACTCACAGCTTTTCCATCTCTGTTGCAAGGGTTTTGCAGTCAGTCCCCCCACCCCCATCCTTCCTGCTCTCTTGCTTCCTGCAGCCCCTGCTCAGAGAAAAACAGCTGCTCAAAGGAAAACAGCTGCTCATCATTCATTCACCTTTTAAATACAGACCAATCATGTCATAATATAAAGAGAAGGCTGAGAAGGTAGCGACTAAGCATGAGAGTAGACATTTTCCTTTCTATTTTTTGCATGCTGACATGGAAGCAATGGCTCTTCCGCTCTCGGTTCAAGTATTGAATGACCATATATATTTAATTCTTTTAAACTGTAGACCGGGAAGCCACTATCTGGGAACTTGAAGAGCACCATCTGCAGGAGAAGCACCAGATTATGAAACAGCAACTCAAAGATCAGTATTTCCTCCAGAGACATGAGCTGCTCCGGAAACACGAGAAGGTACCAGAGCTTTCCGTTCTCGGTTCTTTTGAATGATAGGTGGGGTCTAAGGTTGCCGATATGCAGAGGCAGGTGTGCCTGCTGCTAGAGTGCAGAATAGTTGGCGTGTGGGCATATGGGAAAGCTCCTTTGGTAGCACAGCACAGTAGACTTAAAATTAATTGTAATTGTGGGATCTGAAAAGCCCCTGGGAGGGAGTACTCTGATGATAACTATAATGTAATCACCTATAGGTATTCAGGAAAGGAAACAGGTTCCATGCTCAGGGTTAGTCTCCCATAAATTAGGATCCTCCCAGTGTGTTGGATTGTAGTTCCAATACCCATTGTGATCATAGCCAAGTTTGCTAAAGAGAGTTTCTTCAAAGCAGATGTAACTCTGACTTCAGAGAAAGAAATAACATTAGACCTAAATGTTCTATTTCTGCCTTTTGCTTTGATAGAAATCTCACTGAGCCTTTGGCAATCGCTTCCCATTTTATATTATGGAACAAGATCCCTTTCGTTTCCATTAGAGTTGATGCTAATGTTTTCTCCTCTATGTGAAGGATACCAATACATACCTCTGGTTTATTGGCAGCTGTACTGTATGTGTGGATGATCCCTAATATTTTTCACACATTACTGCACATTGCATTGAGCAGGTGATCACATAAATAACATACTGATTATGATTTCCACTAAGAAATCCCACTCAGTAGATCTGTAATTTGGCAGCTTTCTATAATAGCTTTTATGTTTCAGCTGGCTTAATTAGCATTGCTGTCTCTGTGATAGTTCCCAATAGCTTACGTTAGTGATGCATTCATAATAGCTGGAGGCACTGATGTTATTTCCTTCAGATAAAACTGTGCTAGTCTCCTCTCATCTTCTGGCCTTCCAGATCCACCTTACCTCTCTCTCCCCACTCCCCAACAATCCTTTTGTCTTCTGTTAAATCATTTGTGGCTCCTTGCCATTGACATCTCTGAATGTAGAGGGGGGCATTCTCTTATACTGGCTCCCTCATTCCCATCACTGTTGCAATTGATATTGCAGGAACGCGAGCAAATGCAACGATATAACCAGCGCATGATAGAACAGCTGAAAATTCGGCAGCAGCAAGAGAGGGCCCGTCTCCCCAAAATTCAGAGGAGTGAAGGGAAAACCCGCATGGCCATGTATAAAAAGAGTCTCCATATCAACTCCAGTGGAAGCGCCTCAGAACAGAGAGAAAAGATAAAACAGGTGAAGTTTGCCGTTGGAGCCAGGTAGCCACCTTGCTGAAGGGACCTGAGTGAGAACTTTCATTAGATGCAGAGATGACTCTGGATGGAAAATAAACTAAATAACAAACTTAGAGGATTCTTTCGTCAATGAGTCAATTCATAAAACATGCGAAGACATGTTACAGGATTATAATAATTGTTTTGGGCATTTTTTTTTTAACAAAGAGAGTAAGGACTAGGCATATTTTAAATTAAAAAATAATATATTGGTAAATGAGGAACATGCTAATGTATACTTTTCCTGATTGTACCTGCTAGCCTCTTCCATGAGTGGGCCCAACTAACAGATTGTGGAGGATTCCAAGGCTGAGAAGAACAAACTAGGGGCCCTAGTTTGACTAATATGATGAATTACCTATAGATAGAATCATGCAAGGTTATTGAGCTGTGCCAGCTTACAGGAGGAGCCACAGGTACTATGTACCAATCCACTGCCAATTAATTGCTAAACTGTATTTTGGCTTTGCATTTGTCATGCAAATGAACTCAATGTCTTACACTGTAAGAACCTGCTAGACACAGCCTACTGGAAAGTATTTGTCAGGCTCCATCTCATATCACTGACATTTAGACTTAAATGAGTTTTAAAATAGTGAGGAAAGTGCCATATTTCATTGCCTATTCTGTCACATACTCTGATTTTGTGAAAGATTGGAGAGATCATAATTCTGATCATCTAAAATTCTCATTTCTGGTGTAGCACATATAAGGAAGAATGAAATCAAATCCTATTGATAAACTACTCATCATACAAGCAAATATTAAACAAATACATAGGTCCAGAAATCCTGTAGCTAGCCCAGAAGTTGACTTAGAACAGTTTCACTGACAACAAATGATTACCTTCTGAAGTTATTTTAAGTTCAGGTATATAACTGTTGTAGGAAGCCATCCAAGCATTGGATGATGATTGGTGTTCTCCCCTGTTACAGTTTGCACAGCAGGAAGAAAAGAGACAAAAAGCTGAGCGACTGCAACAGCAGCAGAAGCATGAGATGCAGATGAAGGAAATGTGTGCCCAGTGTGAGAGCAATACGAATGAACTCCAGCAGTTGCAGGTAACTTAATATCATGGTGCAGTTTTATTTATGCTTATGTTAATCTTCAGGAGAAGTACAGCATGCATGAAATCTTTGAGCTATCTTTTATCATGTTCTGAAAGGTTTGTTCATACTGATCACAGTTCAGTCCTAAAAGAGAAGAGAGAAATAATATCAGGGATGTTTTAATGTTGGCATTTTATTATATTTATATCTTAACCTTTACCCAAGGGGTGAAATATGGGGATTTGTTTATTTCATTTAAATCCTTGTGAGTTATGCTAGTTTGAAAAAGAATTATTTTCTCAAAGCCACCAAGTAAACTCCATGGATTACAACAGATTTCAGATCTTTATCTCTATAACACAATATTCTAATCATGCTGTACTTGCTAACTCCAAGTTAAGCAGACAGATAGAATCTGCGACATGGGGTGGATTTCTTTCTACCTAATGTCAGAAAGATATTAGAGGAATAACTCTTTATATTATTTGCTGCTGGTCGTGCAATCTCACATTAGATCAAAGATCAAGTCAACAGAGATAATAGGCCTGGTACTGTTTCTTCCTTGCAAAATACCTTCTCATACTTCTCTCTCTCTTGCTTGCTTCAATCCATGTAGAATGAAAAGTGCCACCTTCTGGTTGAACACGAGACCCAAAAATTGAAAGCCCTGGATGAAAACCACAATCTGACCCTCAAGGACTGGCAAGATAAACTTAGGCCAAGAAAAAAGGTGATTAAAAATTTGCACCCATATCAGAATTTAATTGTGATTTTTTTGAATTTCAAATCAGTTTGTCAAAATAAAGATAAAACTAATGTTAACTTCAACAGGACCCCTAATTTAGAGGAGAATGAATAGGGAGGACTTTGATTTGAATGTTTGTGAGCAGGTTTGCATTTTATACTCTTTTTTTTTATTTTCCTTATTCTAATGTCATATTCATTTCAACCTCCAGCTGCATGTAAGCTGGCAGGAATCCAGATGGCTGAGAGAAACCAAGGTTGTTATTAGCTAAAGCATTACCTTTTCACCTCTTCTGTCTTTGTGTTTCAGGCACTAGAAGATGAGCTGAATCAGAAAAAACGAGAGCAAGAAATATTTTTCAAACTCAGTGAAGAAGCTGATGGCCTATCTCCTATGTCACCGAACAAGCCGGCTAAATTTGTCCCATTCAGCTCTGCAGAGGCTTCATAATACTTGGTTTAAGTAGGCAAGGCTTGCTAATACTTGCCTTTGTTTGTTGGAGGGAAATCAGCAGACAGGGCTCCTTCCTCTCTTTGCCAACTCTGATCAGAGTTTCCTGTTCAGTTGTGTGTCAGACAGTCAATGTGGCTAGCAGTCTGATCCACTAGAGGTGAGGCAGATTCACATGTAGGTTAGAAGCAAGCTATAAATGAGCTTCAGGAAGGGGACCTGATGGGGCCGAGTGCAGAATCCACATTGCTTGCTGAATCCTTTCCCTGGTCACTGTCCAGTTTTGTCTTTTACCATTTCCCGAAGGGATATGTGGAAAAGATCTAAGAGGAAATTCATCACCGTATCAGTTTAATTTTCCAAGTTAGCTTTCCTTTGTATTTCAACTTAATGAGTGGGTGGTTTCACTCAACAGTATAACTTGAGACGCAATAGAAAGTGATATTCACCTCTGATAACCTTTCAAATGACAGTAAAACATCACCTGTCTTTAATGTGGTCTCTATCTTTGTAAATTAAGCAAAGGACTGCTTTTCATTCTATGTCTCCCTTTTGAAATTGATCTGTCCCTCAGCATGTTCCAGACAGCTTGTGACATAATTTGTATCTGTGATATAGAATAGCTCTACTATAGCCTGAAACTTAGAAGCAAAGTATTTTTAGTCAAAGCAGTCCTAAAACAAACAGGGCAGCCAGAGGCTTGGAGGAATGCATTTCTACCACTCTGAAGGTTGAGTAGAGACTGGGAAAATGCTTTCCAATCTGGAGCTATGTTTAAATAAACAGACTTGCCCAAACTAAATGGTTGTAAATGTACCGTAAGGAAGAATGATCTTTCTCTGTTGTTGTCAATCATCCATGATCCCAGCAGATCTTCTTTTCAGACGCAGCATTGTACCCTTGGTTTCCCTGTGCTGGTGAACCAGAGTTCTGTGGTCCCCTTTCACCCCACAGCACTACTTGTCTAAGATGAAGCCTCTGCTCAGGTTATGGCCATGTTTGCTCTTTGGGTAAATTAAGGAGCAGCCAAACCCAAATGCCCACTGCAAAAGATTTGTAGCTGGCCTAAGGTTAAAGGTGCTTTGCTTGCATCAAATTGTGTGTGACTTTCAAGTTTTCCTAGAGTAGCAAATACCAGCTTTGGAACTTTCTCGTGCTAAATGATTGGGTGTGCTCAGAGTAGAAGACATGGTTTTGACCTAAAGCAGCATCTGTAAGGGGACTGCTTTGACTCATTGTAGCGACTGTTTAAGTCTTTGCAGTTTCTCTGAATCAGTATAGAGGGCCACCTAAGAGAAGCCACAGATAGTAGAATAGAATATTATATATTTGAAATGCTAACACTGTTCAGTATTTCATAGACTTTTACAAATCCTATGTTTGACCAAAGAGATCTCCTTTCTTTCCCTCCCACATATTTGATTTATTTAATATAAATTTCCACAGGTTTTGTCCACTTTGCCAGTTTGCATTTCCCTATAAATTATATATAAATTGTTGTTTTGTCACTCTATGAAGTACAATTCATCCAGATTTCAATTTGGGCAGCCAGCTGTATGTGATAAATGCTTTGTTTGGTACTTGTTTAGCTATAAGTTCAAACAGAAAGTTTATACAATTCATTTTAACCACCTCAGAACAATATGCATTAATGGAGGAAACATGGTCCAGTGTTCCTTTTGATATACAGTGTAGGGCTATTGCAACAATAGCTCTTTGCCCTCTCTGTAGGAAAAATAGTTCTGTTTTCTTATGCGCTGTTCTTCAAAGCACTGTTGCTGATGACATGATTTCTATCCTGACAGCTAATTTGCTGGAATGTCAATTGAGGTTTAGTAAACTAGTGGCTGCTGATAGTCCCAGTCACAATGTGTCAAGCGCTAGAATATATTAAAGATGTCAGAATGAAAATACAATCTGAAAGAAATGTCTGCCAAAAGGATTCTGGATGTCAGAGGTTTTTAGGAAATGTGTGTTCAGAAAGCACTTTAATCCCTTATCAGACTGTTTTAAATCTTTGAGTGTTAAGATAATGTGAGGAGAGAGAGAGAAATGGAAACAAAGCCTGCACATTAGGAATGTTGAAAGTGAAGGCAAATGTTCTCTCAGTGAACAGTGTTAGCTTCATGTTGAAAATGAGGGATGCTTCATAAACATCATGTCTTGGGTTTGTTGGTGTGTACGCACATTCCTGCTGTTTCTTCTCAGCCAAGAAACCAAACAGTTGTATACACTCACAACTACTCTTTCTCCCTTTCCTTGCCAGCCTGGTCCTGGCTGTTCCCAAAGGGGCTAGAACTTCACTACTGGCAATATGCACTTCCCAGTTTTTCCAGGAAGCGTATTGGAAGAAAGCGTCCCTTTCCCTCTTCCAGTTAATTGTTGGCTAATCCTAGGAAAAAACGTCAGGGCAGAGGGTTTTGTTTTTTGTGTTTTGTTTAGGAATAAGGGCTTTTTGGAAAAAAAAGTTCTCAAGGATTTTCTGTCTTTGGGTTACCATGATGATGTAAATAATCTAATAAATATGAACCACTAAGCCCTTGCGTGCGGTCCAGATTTGCATTCCTGCTGCGTGTTTCTTTAGGTCAGCAGTGCTGACTTGTATTTATACATGATCTTGGCTTGGCTACAGTGGAAATGTGTTTCAGAATGCTGTTGATTGGCATTAAAACGAGCCAAGTCAACAGCTTGATGGCCCTGTACAAAGTGTTTTTAAAATATAGATGGTCTTACTTGAAAATATCTGTACTGTATTGGAATGTGTTAATATTAAACTATTAATTCTTGAAGCAGATTGTGATTAGTTAGATCTATGTGTAAGTCTCTGTCACTGGTTATTCAAAAAAAAAAGGTCGACATTGGTAGCAAGGTGGATCTGCACCTCTCATTAACTCTTACTGTAATTCTGTCATTCTTCTATTTTGATATGAAAATTATTGAATAATAATAGGATGGAAGGTGCTGAACTACTTAAAAAAGCATTACTTTCACGAACATGAAACCTGGCTGTAGCTGAGTTCCAGAAACATTTCTACTTTACATATTGTATCTTGAAATCTTAATGTAAAGGGGATTTTTTGTAGCGTTCTAGTAATTTACTGATTTTCTTTAAGGTGGAAATTTCTGTCAATTGACTGGGTTTGTCAGAGAAGCCATTCTTCCTGTATGGCATTTCCAGCAATTCCCATAAGATGTTAGTGTTGCTGAGCATAGAAAATACATTAACTTACTTTGAAAATTCTGCACCACTTACCTTTTACAACATCTGTTACTGTACTAGTTGATAATTGAAACCCACTAGGCAGTGATGCTCGTTCCTGGTTTTGGAATCCCAATCCCCCTTCTCATCCCCCATAGAGGGAAGAGCTGTTGGAGGAATAAACAACAGCTAAAAAATCAGGAGAACTCCACAAGCACTGGAGAACTCTTCCTGTTCTGAAAAGCAATCCCCTAACAACGCATCATTGCAAATGCCTTCATTCTAGTGAGCTGTAGCATATTTCCCATTTTAGCTAATACTGGTTATGACTGAAAATTGTATTTCCTGCACCTTCATGGTCTGTATGGTTGGCATAACTCAGCTCCACTGCCTTTGCACTTGTTTTTATGTTGGTTGTCAGTTGGTTTTGGATTGGGACTGAAAGCATAGTTCCATACCTATTCAAGTAAGAAGACATATTGGTGCCACCCTCTTGCCAAATGCCTGTGTCTCACCTGCAGTTGAGCACTGATTCCTCTTCCAGTTAGTTGAGCTAGTCTGTGTTGTCACTGGTACCTCTGAATAGCCTTGGGGACACTGAGAAGGATGTGGGCAGCATCATATCTTCTTCTGATCTTTGGACCTTTGCTCAGTTTGCATAACTTTGTGAATGAGATGCAGAATAACAGTGTGGCATTTGGGAGAAGGGATACTAGCATGCCCGCTGCTTATATCATTGGTTTGACTCGTGAGGCAGCAGCAGTCAGATACACAGTTCCTTAGAAATGGGAATTCTGTTCCAAACATCTTACAAAATATTTTTTTTAGAAAAGAAGATGTTCCTATTTTGTTTTCTAATCAGTAGTTCTACCATCAACATATGACTCTATCTATATTTCTGAAATCGCTATACTCTTTGCTTTGCCTTTCTTTCATTCTGGCGCTTTTTACCCCTCATACTTCCTCACAGTCACTTGCTAGCAATTGGTGCCTGGGGGTAAGGTGAGGTTATTTCTCCTTAGCTGCTCTTGGAAAGCTGCAGCTGTTGTCCTGGGCCTTCTGGATGGTTGCTGGTGGTGGTGGCAGCTTCTCTGCTTTGCTTTTCTTCTGAACCTGCAGTGCCTGAGCTGTCAAGATGCTAGCACCTGGGCCTATTTAGAAGGGGCTGCCCTTGGTGTCTACTGGCTTTCAAGTGCCTGCTCCACTTGTAATTTGCTGGCAGACCCTGGATCTGCAGCACTTGATTTGTTCAGCTTCTCTCGAAGTTCACCTCAGCCACTGCCTCACCTCTGCCACTTCTGTGTATTCTGGCTATTCCGTGGCCTTCAATGCCATTCAGCATCACTGCTCAGCCCTTTGCTGCCACTGCCAGCATTCTTCAGCTTTCGCTAGTGTCCTCCCTTTCTTTGCTCTTTGCTCTTCCCTGTCATTTCATTTTCTCTTTTTCATCACCACCACCACCATTAGCACCAGAGCCAAATCCTTTTTAAAAGGCCAGCTTGAACAGTTTGGCAGAGCACAGCCCTTAAAGGGAAATGGGGGACAAAGAGGTGTGGGTGTTCCAGTTGCGGTACATCCTTCCTTCCACAGCTTGTCCTAGTGTGCATGATTGATTTTTTTATGTATGTATTCTCCATCATGCCTAATACTTGCATGCCTATCTTCTAGGTGTAATAGTCCATTTGTAAACAAATCACAGGTAAAAATAGCCACTCTGAGAAGGATGCATTACACAAGGCATTATGGTGTTCAGTGTGGAGAAAGAATGTCCTATTATACACAGTACTTTCTGAGATGTGCTTTGCTCATGTAGATATGCAAACATCAAAAGTTTGAAATGCTGGAGAAAAGCTTCTTTTGCTTTTTGAGTCTAGAATATTACATTTGTGACCTGACAATGAAGTTACAAATTCTAATGCAATCAATCTGGCCACTGGTGTATCTAATGTTGTAATATAATTCTTGTCCCTATTTGTGCAAAATTATGTTCTGCAGCTGTCTGCCATGACATATCACTGCTCCTATGCCATTGGAGAAACATCCCATGCTAATTTGATGGGCAAAGATGGATGAAATGTGAGCACATTGTCTCATGTGACCAATTTCTTTACATGTGAAAATACTCCATTGCACTCATGTCACTATATCCATTTTTGGCCGTTCTGCAACAAAAAATTTAATGGATTCAGTGCAGTTGTTAAGATGACACAAATTGAGTATAGTAAGTTGCAGGTGCTAGAAACGATCAAAATGTGAACACATCTATTGGTTGTGGACCTTCCAGAACTGCTTTGATTTTATCTGGTGACTTGTGCATCTAGTATAATGTATTCACTGTATACTGTTGAGTTCTTTAAACAATCCACATTTTGCATGATTGGCATATAGCTCATATTTTTCTAATTTACTTTGCCTCTTCCACCTGTCACAGCTGTGTCAACCAAATAACACTGTGTTCTGGAAATGCCTTGCAGGACTAGATCCATGGCCTGTTGTCAGATAGCAATAACTGAGGCAATACCAAATATTGACCTGTTGTATTAGTACAGACCTTTGAATGTGTTGATGTCTGGAATCTTCTTCCACTTCCATTTGTAGATAGGCCTGCTAACCGTCCTCCTGACAGAAAATATCCTCAAAAATATCCTTAATTGATGAGAAAGATACTGTTCAACTATCACAAATGGAATTATAGTAACCTTAAAATTTCTACACAATCTCCCTGTTCCATTTCTTTTTATAAGTATGATAGGAGTTAGCCATGCTGTCTAAGCAACTTTTGAAAGTGTGTTAACCTTTTCCACTTCAGTATTCACTTGGAGGCAAATGCTATCATGAACAGGTCTTATTTTGTGGAACTCAAGCTATGCATTTTCAGCTAATTCTATTTCTATCTTGATATGTTTCAAGGTTCCAGTTCCTTCCTTGAACTCTTCTGCTGCTTGTTTTAGTGCCTTGTAATATTTCCTTACAAGATTTCTTCCATAGCAGTTTGTTGAACATGAACAATAGGATAGTTCAAGGGTAGTTTCTTCACCCACGCTTTCCTACTGAGTGCTGGATCTTAACTCTTAACGGCATGTGAATCTGGCTGACGTTGGTTATTTTCATGTTTCCATATCAGCTTTTACCATTCCTGTGGACATTATCTTTTCTACTGTGTAGGTTTTCAACAATAACAGTTAATGTCTAGTTTGCAAAGTTTGATGGCTGATTTTTTTCCCCTCTGTCTATGACATTTCATCTTCACAGATCTCTAATTCCAGCTAATTTTTCCAGCTATCTGTGGTATCAGTCAGACTAGTCGTTTTGGTATATATTGTAAAGTTCCAGGGTCACTATCTCACTATCCATGTCAAGGGCATTAATTTGGGGTTTCTCTGCCTGTGCCGTGATCTGTCACAACGATTTGTGAATTTACAAATTCAGACCACCTGCACATTGTACCATTAGTGGGAAAAATAGATAGACAGCTCCCCTGTTACTCAGAAGGTTACTGTATTAACAAGAGAATGAAGAAGTCTCTGCCCTAATAAATTTAGAGATAAATTGGGTGCTGCAGCAAAAGTACACATTTATTGAGGTTTTCTGTAACCCCCTTTGCCTTCCAATAAATCTGATTAAAGAAGCTTATGAGAATCTTGTTTTTGGGGGTAATCACCTGTCAAGAGCTTGACATTCATCTTGGCAACTCCTTTAATCCTCTTACAAGGAAAGCTACCTTCTTGTTCTTGACCAGGACTATGCAAACGACTGTCTGAGAACAGAATGGGTTGCCAGTACCTTAGTTCAACATTAGCAACAAGTAGATTCACAAACCAGTCAACTGATTACTGATGTTCCTCAGATGATGCAGCAATTTGGACAAGCAAGGCAACCAGCTATGGCCACTATCGGTGCCCCTTCTGCCATTCCTGCTCCTCCAATTATGCTATTTCACTCTGCAGGGGGAAGGGGACTTGAGTTGGAAGGCGGTCTTATGATCTTCTTAGACCCTGGAAAAGAAGATGGCAATTTAGAAACCATCACCACAAGTTTGGAACACTTACATTCTTCCATCATCAGGAAAACTCATAGCTAGTTCCCTGCCCATCAAGGGGGTTGTTAACAAGAATGTAAAGAAACTTCCACCCTAGCCAACTTTGAGATAATTTAGATGCTAAAAGGAAACCATCCAGTTGCTAAATTTTCTGTCATCTAACTCCTTTTCCCTTTCAACAGATCTGATCAAAGACACCTTTGCAAGAATCTTGCTTTTGGGTGTAATCAGCTGTCAAGAGCTTGGCAGATAGCACAGTGAAGAACAGATCCTTTACTCATACCTGTGCTTTGACTGCTCATTGCACAAGCCATCGACCTTTCCCTTTATAGATGCCTACTCTTAAAGGTACTCTCTGCTTCTAGGGCCGCAGCACAGGCTCTAGGAAACAGAGGGGAGAGGGAAGCTTTATCTGTGAATATAGCCCTGACTTTGCTGGTATTCTATAAGCAGATCAAAGTAACTTTATTCCAGTGCATGTTCGTCCCATAGCTTACAACAATATTTCTTTCCTAAAATCCTTCAACTCTAGCAGGTTGCCATGCAGATGTAATACTCCTATGTATGAATACGGTTACTTTAATAATACAGATAAGCAAGCTGTTAGTTCAATGCTATTTTGCAAATTCATACTACTATTGAAGGAACAGTAGATTCCACCTGTCATAGATAGTCTAGTGCATCCTGCACTGAGAAGGGAGGTGGGCTAGTTGACCTCTAAGGTCTATTCCAAGGGCATGATTCTGCAATTCTAGGAATGTGCTATTGTTAGCATTTCCACAGCAACATCTCTCTCCAATAAATCCCTCAAATTGAATTTTAAAGTCCTGAATTCTTTGACCAACTTTGTATAAGGGTTACCAGTCTGCACACCTGAATGTCACTGTGAGAAACTTTGCATCTTGAGCAGAAGAATGAAAATGTCCAGAGCACACATTTCCCTTCTCATAACAGTCATTCCATATTTTACTGTTGTGTTTATATTAAATTACCAACTTTTAAAAAATAGCATTGCATTTTAAACATACAACAAAGGTGCAAGATCATTCCAAGCCTTTCAGTCAAGAGTCTACCATTACTGAAATATATCAAGCTTTTGTAAGGTTAAAATAAAATTGAAAAAAACCTTGATCATTTTGCACATTTATTAAAAGTACAGCACCTGTTTGGTCTGATTAATTTTTATAAAGGTTTTTTAAATTTCTTTGAGAAATGATATGAATGAAAAACTTGCCTGCTGAAGGTGACACTAAAGCAAAGTAGAATTTTTGATTTCTGAAATCTACTGTAAATATTCTAACTAAAGACTTAATTTGTATAACCATCATAATGCAGTTCCCCAGCAAGTCCACTAGATGGTACTATCTTAAAATAATGATTTAAGTTTTTGTTTTTTATGATGATATAAACTGAAGATCAGAATGAATGATAATTTGAGGAATTTGTTTAGGCAGGGTGATCTGAAAGAACTCAGCAGAGAAGGTATATGAAGACTGAATTTATTTTGCTGCCATAAATGTGCTTTTCCATGGAAGTGTTAAATGCTTTTAATTTTGGTTGAAATAAAGTAAAAGTTAAGAAAAAATAAGATCCATATATTCATATAAACATTTTATTGAACTATCACTTTTCTTTCTGTTGGCTATATTTCACCAATGCAGATGTAAAAAAAGTAAAATAGAAAATGCTGTTCTTCAGTAGCAGATGAAGCTTAAAATGGTTATAAATTAAAATTGCCAGTCACACATACACAGGGTGGGGGTGGGGGAGGGGGACAAGACAGAAGTTATGCTTCGTCAAGAGGATTCAGGGAAAACAAGACTTAGGCAGGGCCACGTGAAGCTTCTGTCGGGCAGAGTGATAATCACAAACACTCCTGCTTGTGCAGAGCGCAGCAAAAACTCCAGGAAAATATTAGCCATGAAAGCAAACACAATGCAA